AACCCAACCGTCCCACTGGATTTCAGAAGGTACAGAGACAAGTGGAACCACAGATTGGATCAAGAGGGCTTCCAAATAGAAGAAGGCGAAGCTGAGCAGCTCAAGTTCCACAGTTTTGAAAAAAATTCGTGAATAATCGAATACACATTGTTAATTATTAGATTAATTATCCCTACTAAATAGTAATCACGCTAAGCGTGTGTCTGTGTGTGTGTCTGTGTGTGGTGTGTTTTGTGTCACGCAAAATTCATAAGCGCCCGTCCCAGTTAGCTGTAGGAAATTTGATATTCGGCAAGAATAGAGGCTATGATGGGAACATTATTGGTGGGTGACAGGGAGTGATATCAGCTGATAAGATCCGATAAGAGGCGTCAGAATGGGAGGGCCATCGGGTCCATAGTGCAGGACACAACAACAATGGGACGTTGGTTCCAAGGTATGGTATAAGGTGTGGGACAGGAACATTATTGATAGGTGACAGGGAGTGATATCAGTTGATAAGATCCGATAAGAGACGTCTGAAGGGGAGAGCCATCGGGTCCATAGTGCGGGACACAGCAACAGTGGGACGTTGGTTCCAAGGTATGGTATAGGGTGTGATACAGGAACATTATTGATGGGTGACAGGGAATGATATCAGCTGATAAGATCCGATGAGGGGAGTTAGAACGGTAAGGTCCCCACACTCATCACGCAGGACACAGCATCAGCTAGGAGTTGATTTCAGAAAATGATGTAGGGTGGGATGTGGGGACATCGACGGCAGGTGACAGGACGTGATAACAGCTGATAGGGGCAGATAAGGAACGTTGCCATTGTTGTTCAGTCAAAGTGCTGGAGCCTTTACACTACCATGTTATAGAGTAGTAGTAGTAGTGTGGCCCCGTGTGCAAACTTTTCCTTTAGCCATCACTTCTCTGATAGCCCTAGAAAATGAACTCATTCACTAATGTCGAATTGTGAAAATCCGACGAGGCCCAGGGGGGGGGAGGCTATGTAGTTCGCCTGAAACAGGAAACTCATGAAAAATTCGAGGATGTGACACTTCATGCGTTCAATAGCACTTTTTACTTTTGAACTTCCAATTGCTGATTAGATCGCATAACAAGGGCTCATAGTACCTACAAATAGTTATAGTTCAGCGGATTGCAAGCTAAGTGAAAAAGGAAACGTTCATCGGTAGGCATTTCGGTGCAGGGAATGGAACGAAATCTGCTTTTTACTGAGCGATTCATACTGCGCTGTATTGACCTACTACACATTGTGTCTATATCTACAGATTTATGTTTTGTATGGGCGTAATGGCGCGGACCACACTACGGCGCGCCACCTCGCCCCTGCTGCAAATATAGAAGCGTGTGCTAAGTAGTGCACGATCCCAAGCCTTCCTCTATCTGCAACGATTCGATCACTACAGCGCCGTATGAGCAGCCCACTATTCAAAAAGTTCCGTTCCATTTGGAACGCGCCTGGCGAAGTAAGGCGAGCTCTCCTCCTTCTTCTAGCATCGGCATATCCGCCAAGCTAGAAGAAGTGAGGAGAGTCGGGCGTCAGCCGGCGGCGATCCGAACTGGTTTTTGTAATAAATGATAAAATTTTGACACAATTATATAATAAAACTGACCATTTTAATTTCAAAGTTACCAGGTTCCCACACAGCTGTGCAAATATTTCTACCTAAAGGGCTAAAGCATCAGTAATATATAACCGAGAACACTGAGAAAGCTAACACCTTTTCAACATAAGAACACTCGGATGGGCCGGATGAGGGTTTGCAGAATAAACTGTTGCCGACGGTACACCATTTGGTATACTCCCTACGGTTATCCTCACTAACTTCATTTGTCAAACCATTGCTCAATTTCACTTTACTCCTCATTTCGTGAAGTTTTTTTGGATGCGTCTTCAAGGTTTTTGACCTCGGCACCGTTCACTTCGGCGAACGCCCCACCCATCAGATGTGTGCTCCACTAATTTCGTCGGCCAACTGATTGCCTATCGTTTGCCACTTTTTCCGCTCTCTAGGCTCTTCTGGAACCGAACGCGAAATTATTGAAAATATGTAGCTCACAAAACTGTGCGCGCACGTCCCGCCCCACAGTGGGCGGGGCTTAGCTTAGTTCATGTGTGTTCCGTACATCTTGGCCCATGCCCTACCCAACCCACCCTTGACCCGCCCCTCCAACTGGCTCTTCAGGTGATTCCGAATTTCCGGACAGACAGACAAACAGACAGACACGAAC